AGGGCCGCCCCGACACATCTAAATCTCAATTCTAGGTGCTCAACAAATCTCACACTAGCGAATCAATCTTCGAAAAATCTTCTTTCATTTCTCCCATCTGCTTGCATCGTGCATCATCTTTTTACAAGAAATCTTGTAACGAGGTTACAAAAGTATCCCACCTATCCTTTATATAATCTGGCATCACTTATTTTAAAAAACCGTTCTTGGTCACTGAGTTCAGTTGCGGTTGGTAACTCACGGCAGATCTGTCAAACAGATTAAAAATGGGAGTTTGTTTAGCCCACCGGAAAAATACGTCCGAGTCCGAGCCGAACCAACGAATGCCCGGGTATTGTAGCTCCCTAGAGGGTAGAGCCATGATTGTGCCAGATGTGTTCTTGAAAAGCTTTCCAACCACGAGACAGTGAACAAGGTGAACATAGGACATAGTAGATCAATAGTAAGGTGGCAAGTAGGGAAGGTATAAGTTAATGAATAAAATTAACGGTCAGACAGTGAGACATACCAGGCAGTTAAAGTGACGTAAAAAGCATACACGGAGGTTTGTAACATTTAAGGTGAAGTTAGACAAGGACAGTAACAGTGATATTAATTACAGAGCGATATATATACATATAACTTCAGGAATACTAGCACCTTCGTTGTTTAGTGTACCACCATACTCCAGGTAATAACCGTCAGTAAAAAACACATAATATGTAACACTAACACGCTAAAATTCGCTTGAAGGAAAATCCTTCAAACGAAGGTCCTACCCTTAGGCCGTAAAAACCTACCGTCTACCCTCGGTGGAAAGTTGTGTGTTGCACGTGTCGACTTCCGACGTGCAACCCCGCTCGACAGCGCTCTGTCGGCCTAGCTGGTCGAATCCCGTCGTGCACGAGCATAAAACCCTGCCACCTCGTTGTCACCGCGCCAAGTCGGCATATTTAGAAAAAAAAAGCTCCCCGCTGCGAGCCATCCATCGACTAACATCAGTCTCGCCATCTTGTGCTATCGCACAAATAAATGCAAGTTGAAAAGGTATTTGCTACACCTACCTGTCACCATCATCGCAGACACCAACCAACATGCAACAACGCGCGCAACGAACATCACCCAGCAACATTGAACAGTGCCATATCCAGTAAGTGAAGCCCACTAACCCTAGCTAGGAAGCAATAAATAAATGTTGAAACGAATTCGTTAATTTAAACTGCATGTCCTTAGTAAACCGCGGAATCTGTGTAGTGCGAGGCTGGATTTGAGACACATTTGGAACAAATAGTTTTTTTTTCCGTTAGTAGATCCCTGTAGGTAATGTGGGGAAAACCATCATAGGAAACCCCGCTTGCCGATGATTTTGTCTTCTCCCTGTAGGTAATTTATTCGTTTGTTGGGTTTAGTGCAATTCTTGCCGCCATTTGTAGGATTTTTGATAAACCTGCCCTGAGGTCTCTAGCCGGAACGGGATTCGGTCTCTGAGAACTTGCCCCTTCACGGTAACCTAGTGTTACCTGGCGCTTAAGTGAAGGCCGTGATTTTCCTCTTTCGCTAAAACACTCCCGACCCGTTACAATCTTCAGAACCGTCATCAATCTTCTTTCTATCTACTAAGCGTGTGCGCAGCTAACCACAGCAAAACACAATTTTTCCTGCATCGTAGATAGAATAACCCCCTCGATCAAGTGGGTAATATCTTGCACCGACGCTTAATGTCGGTGGCTTAATAATGTTTGAATCGTTAAAAAAAACTTAACAATTCAGCGGTCAAAATTACACTAACTCCAATACAATCTGGTTTTTGTTTTTATTTATATTATCTGATAACACAAAAGCTGCCGTATTGATACGGTGTCCAAAGCAAACATAAATTTTACGTATAGGGTAACTACTTTGCTGTAAAAAATGTATTTTAGGCTTAAAACGAATGAAGTGCATCTTGCCCCAACGGTGCATGTTACTCCTGGTACCTCTATACAATTTTTGACGAAATAGCAGGAATTAACCACTTTATCAATCAGTTTTGACGTGACTTTCTACCAGCGATTCCACAAAATTTAACCAACTAATTTCTATTTTTTTATGAAACGTACAAATGATGGCTACTTTTCTCTTGGTTCTAGAAGAAACAATCTCAAAATAATGTTTTATTTCAAAGTTCGAGTCGTAGTATACGTCATAACTGCTCGAATGCAGTGGTTAATTGTGTTAAAAGAATATCGATCAACTTACACTTTTGAACGCATACCTGCCAACCATCAGTAAAAACATCGACCAAAAAGTATGTTATTTGTTGTCTACGTATTACCCGCGTCGATGTTCTTCATGAAAAACGTAAAAATAGCATTCTGAAAAGCATTAATAAACCTTCATTTGAATTGATTTAATTTGTGTTCGATATAATTATCGTCGCGACCACTTTGATCTAAAAAGATACAGTCATGCTCGAATGGCTCCCGCAAGTGACAGGTCGAATTGACGCCGTCAGTGTCTCCACCAGACTATGAATATAATGACTACTATGGACCAGTTAGGTCTGTGCCACAAATGGGAAAAAAATCCTCATAGAGAGAGAGAGAGATCTTCTTCTTCTTCTTCTTTCCTTTATTTAACGTCGGTCTCTGTTCCGCAATCTAGTGCCAATCACCGACGGACATCGATTGCCATCCATTGACGGCAATCGAATGTGCAGGAAGGCAGCATCCACACCTGCGTAAGATTTCGCACCCATTCAACACACATGGGCTGGGACCAACGGCTTTACTTCTTTTCCGAAGGAAGACGTGACCACAGATTTTTATGCCTCAGAAAAATCCCACCGACCTCGGCTGGGATTGAACCCAGACCCATCGGGGTGTTAGAAAGCAGTCACGCTTACCACTACACCACCGGCGCTGGCTGACGAATGTTGATGTTCTGCATTTACGGATGCGGACTATCCATAACAACCCGTGGCACAGTGTTATCTAAAAGATAAATCATCCAGCAATTGCAATTCATCGAATATGAAAATATTGGTAGGGGAAAGTGGGGAAGTTTGGCCACCTTAATAAATCATCACTAATGACACCAAATTCAGAGGAAAATTCGAATAATTTTTAACCAAATGGATAGTTTCAGCCCATATTTACACCATGAATACAAATTGAATGTTATAAGTAAACTTTTGAGTCTCATAAAAAAAAGTTTAAAAAAATTTCGATTTGTAACCGAAATAAAACCGTTGGGGTAAAATAAGCACCCTATCGGGGTGGTAAGGGCACCCTTGTAAACAACCAGCCGAAATTATATTCTGTTCTCATGAGGCTTTATGAAAGGTCAACAATTAATAGTTTTAGCATAAAAATATTTAAAAGATACAATTATTTTCTGTAGATAAAATTAAATTAATGAAGGACTGCCCATTCATGGCTACATTTCTTCAGTCTTGGGAATGACTTATTTTTACCAAAGCAGCTGCTACAAAACGTGATTATGATACAGTCATATTTATAAAAGGATTAATGGAAAATTTAAGAATTTAAGTAGAAAATGTTCAGCGGTGCCGGTGGTGTAGTGGTAAGCGTGATTGTCTCTGACCCCAGCAGGCCTGGGTTCAATCCCAGTCGGCGGCACCGGGATGTTCAGAGGCATAACATCCCTGATCACGTCTAAGCAAAGCCGTTGGTTCATGAGTTGATGGGTCGGTAGGTAGGGTGCAGGTGTGGGAGCTGCCTTCCTGGCGTCGGTAGCATTGATGCTCAGCACGGAAAACAAATCAAGTAAAAAATAGAGAATGTTTGTTTGTTCATATCGAATGGACTTAAATAATATTTTGTAATGAAAAACTTTATTGTTTATCGAAATCAAACAAGCATCGTGTTAGATAAGAAAACAATGACCATTTAAAAGCTGCTGAATGAATATCAACGAAGTTGGAAGAAACTGATAGACCTTATTTTCTGATTCAGAAATATTATAAAATTTTGAACATTTTGAGCTAGTCTAATATTTTTCGAAGATTCGCACTAGAGAAAAGTAATTTTTTAGACTAAAATTAAATTGACAGTTCATGTATGCTTCAAGCATTAGCCTACAACTGATTTTTTGTTATAAAAAATTGAAGTTGTTGATTAAGCGGGTGGCCACATTTCCCCATGGGTGAAATCTCTCCACTTTCCCCTATCGTTTTAAAGGAATTTTCCATTTTTATTTCTATACCGGTCGTCTGTCTGTAAGTAAAGAAACCTGTCATGAAAGCTACCCAAGACCTATGTTTATCCTTATACATCATATCGTGCGGGACCGCAAACCGCCTAAGAAATTATTGGAAATCTGCACATCTTACAAAGCGCTATCAAATTCATTCGAAGCTTTATCCTTTGATCGATAGATTGTCAGTCTTAAAAAAAAAAGATCGATTTAACGCTGTATTAAAAAAGCATCATGTACTAAAGATTATTTTAGTTAATTTATTACTCATTTCAACCATCATTACATATTAACACTTCTCCAATAGAAGTTTTAATTGGCATGAAAGTTGTTTCATTGGAATAGATTTTTTTTATATTTTGGACAGTATAACAACGAAATTGTGGAGAACCTCAACCATTTGTAAAATTGCACATTTATTCTGTCCATCACATCTGTGGTGCTTAAAACAGGACTAATTTATGTCATTTTAGAACATTCTCATCACTACACCGGTGCAGCGATACTCGATAGGTATAAGTTATTTTCACTTGGCAACGCTTATTTCTAAATTGATGACAAGGTATGCTTCCCTGAATATGTTTTGTTTTAGTTGTTAGAAAGATCCTATGTTGCACTGAGACTTTGAGTTAAACGTAAAACATGTAACACCCCCCATGTAACGCATAGCCAACATCGAACATGGAACGGCGACCGCAAAACAACTAAAAACATGTTTTAGGCCTGGGATATGTTACCACTTACTGTAAAACTTAATTTAATGGTATCGCCATACCGTAGATCTTGTAAGTGGCATCAGTGCAGTTAAACAAGAATGACAAAATGACAGGAACTTAATGTCAGTAAACACCAGAATTTGTTTGTGATTGATCATTTTTGAAGCGCATATCCAAATTAACAGCAGTTCCGTCATTGAATGCAGCATTTATGTTTCCTTTGTACATTCCCGTTGTCATATCGTGAGTAATACACATTGCTTTCGACAGCTTGTACTTTAGTCCATCGCTAAGCTCCACCTCCCTATTCCACAATGGTTTTAGCTCTTCAAGAGCATTCTAAAGAAAATAGAATGATTCAGTGATAATAAAAATCCATTTTGAACATTAAATAGACATACCCTTGCATGATCGACATCATGTTCAGAGTAATCAGCACCCAAGACTTCTTCCTCAGAGGTTAATCTCACTCTGACAAATTTATTCAAAATCCACAGCAGAGCCCATGTTGATCCTAGTCCCCATCCAAGTATAGTGAACATTTCTGCTAATTGCGAAATGAGCAAACTATACCCTCCTCCTAAGAACAGACCAGATCTGCCTCTTGTAATAGTTTGTGGTACGGGGTCGAAAGCAAATAGTCCAATAGAGATCAAACCTGGAAAAAATATATGCAAAATATAACAATATGTGTTTATCAATACACGAGGATATATCATACCCCAGGCTCCTCCTACGCCATGAACGGTACAAGCGTACAGAGGATCATCAATTTTATATTTGTCCATTAGTTTCATGCTAAGCATACACAAGAGTGATCCGATTGCTCCAGTAAACACAGCTGACCAAGACTCAAACATATAACATCCTCCAGTAACAGACACAAGTGAAGCAAGGACTCCATTCATAATTTGGAACGGTTGAGCCTTTCCTTTGTGTTCTATTAAAGAGTACCTGTTTAGGAAATGTGAAAATAATAACAAAGTTTCTCTTAAAACGAAATGCATTATAACTTACACGCAAGCCGTCACTCCACCTCCCATCGATCCTAGCATAGTCATGACGGCTGATCTAATCGTGTAACCCCATCGACCTCGACTAAGTCCATAGCTACTAGCCGTATTAAACGCCAACCAAGCCCACCATAGGATGAACAGTCCCAAAAGCGCAATCAACGCATTTCCCATTGGAACATGATGGCTTCCTCGATCATATCGACCAATTCGCGGTCCAAGGAAGCATGCAGCTGCGAATGAACATACACCTCCCAACATGTGCACTGGCCCGGCTCCTGCAATGTCTACAGCACCAAATACCGCGAGAAATCCACTCTCACGCCACACCCAACCAGCAGCTATTGCATAAAAAATCGAGTTTATGAAAGCGTAAATACAATACGCTCGAAAGTTAAACCTAAAAGTAACCGCGGTAGGATCAATCATTATTTGTCGTTATCACTTTAAACTGATCACATTACTTACCTCTCAGCCATTCCACCACTAGCAATAGTCGTGGACGATGATGAAAACGAAATTTCATACATAAACGCTGTCATTACGCCACCCATTAGCGGATCGGTTTTTGCTACGTCGACGAAAAAATCTCCCCAACCAAACAGCCAATTTGAATAATTACTTCTACCGTAAGCCAAACCAAATCCTACTAGCCAAAATGCGAAACCGCCAATAAATGTGTCTACTGTATTTTTCATCATCATATTTACACTGTTACGGACACTTACAGTTCCAGCGTTAACTAGTGCAAAGCCAGTTTGCATAGTGATAAGGATTAACGAATTCGTTACGATGTATCCTGCGTCTGCGATTGTCACATCGTATTGCGCAGGAATATGCAATGTAGAATTTATGGTCATGTAATCGACCAGAATTACTGGTGTATCAGTAGTATTTTCCATGTTTTCGTTCTCCTTGTCACTTCTTCACACAATAGATGGCACAAACTGGAATATACTTTTCACGAGCCTAACGCAAAAAGCATTCTGACTAACCATTACAGTTGACCAAATCTTTAAATACTTTTTACTCTTGTATTGGGAGACGTGATTTTGGCACTTTATAATTTATGCTAATTGTATTGAATAGATGATGATACATATTGAGACCACTCTTACTATTAGATAATTGATAAATCACGACTAGGCAGCATCTTTTTTGTTTCAATTCAGCAGGAAGCAGTATTCTTTTGTAAGCAACATAATTCTCGAACTGAATTTTTTTTTATTTAAAAATGCAGAATCTTGAATTGATCGTATAGCGCATTTTGCCAAGCTTTAGTTTACCGCTCCAAAAAAATAATTATGTTATGATTTTCCAAAAACCTTAAAAAACTCACATTCTATTCTTATTTTTCAAAAAAAAACTCACGTGCAAAACAATTTTTAATAAGTCATTATGGCATAAAGTTGGACTCAAAAAACCACAAAACATCAACTTTTCGGTTTTGCTATCCAAAATTTTTTTTTTCTAGATGCGATAAAAAATATATTTTTACAAGTAATTTTTTCCATGCATCTAAGGAAAAGCGTGATTTTCTTGGATTTTTAATAATGTTTCCCAATATATTAAGAAAAATTAAAACGTGCCGTAATTTTTTTTATTTCCCATTATGAGCAGCTACCCTAATGAAGCTCTAGCATTCTATAAGAAGCTTAATATTTACAATCTATTGCCAGTGCGATCTTTTTTTTTTTTTTTTTTTTGTTAATTGCTTTTATTTGTACAGGTTTAATCGAAAAAACTTTACAGAGCCGAACTATCATCATTAATGTCTTACATCATTTTATTATCATTAATGTCTAACATCTAAAGTTAAAGGAATTCAAACGAATACTCGCGGTCTTCTCGAGGTTATTGGATGAAAATTTTATGGATGTGGAGAGAGAGAGAAGTAGATTTAAAAAATGATTTAAAAAAAAATCACTATTTCTAAAACAATGCGAAAATATAATTGCGTACCTATTTTTAGTACAGGAGTCTAATCAGGTGAAATTTATGCAATGCATATTGGATAGAAATAATCTTGATATAAAAAAAAATCGGCTGGACATTTTTTTATGTATAACATAACAAAACAATATTTTGTGGTTAATAATTATATGTGGTGAATTGGTCTAGTTTTTCAACTATAGAATAAAACATATCTAGCGCTTGTCACCATACTACACGGCCGATGAGAATATGTCAACATTAATTCGGATTCAACAAAAACTTTCAAAAAGTGGAGTTACTCAATGGATGAATGAAATTAACCTTGATTTTCCTCAAAAATTGACTTGAAAACCAAAAAAATCAATGTTAACTATACTCAGCCTATGTACCAGAATTCTTAGCCTTAGATTAATTATCGATTAAATATTAATTGAATAATGTACATTACACTACTGCAAATTCAGCAATCGCAATCGTATCCAACGATTGTTGTCAAGTTGCTTGTTGCGATGAGAGAATTTTTTAACGCAGTGCATGTGTATTTTTCTTGCCTATATTGGGATTAAATACATGCGGATAATGAATCCTGAGCACCTGAACTTTTTGTTAAATTACATCTCGCTAATATCTTATATTCTCCTATTATGAGTTGTAACATATTAAAACAGAGATTAGAATGTGATTATTCACCGCTTTAACATAAAACAAACAATTAAATCTCAGCGGTGCATGTAACCGTTACCGCGGAGAATATCTGCCACTAGTTCCAATCTGCGTATGAAATTCTTGAAGAAGAAGGACGAAACGATATTTTGAGTGATCCCCACCGAGTTTTTAACGGAAACGAAATAGGATTCAGGTTCGACCCTGAAACAAAGGTGGTAAGAGAGTTCAGAAATAACGTCACGATTTTGAATACTTATGGGGCCTTTGGAATTGCAGTTCCACCATCTGTAGAGTTTCCGTATCAAAGAGTTCCTCAGACTGGCCCTCAGTGTCATCAAAAGCTTTCGTTCAGGCGGGGGTTTCGGAAAACCCGAAACCGGATGGATGACCAAGAAAGCTTTCATGAGATACATACATGACCAACGTTTCTCATCCATATTTGATCCGTGAGAAAATCCAACTGCAGGTAAATTATTTCGTTGATGGCCGAACTCCCTGCGAAACAGCTAAAAAATGTTATAAGCTGGACATAATCCTCATTTCACTTTATTCTAATTTGACGCACATCTTTCAACCGGCTGATGTGGCAATATGTAGGTCATATCAAGGCAAACCGGTTAGTTTTTATTTGTCTGCTATTTTTATTATAGAATAATATTACCTTTTATTCCTCTGTTCGGGACATAAAACCACTGCGACCAGTAATTTGATATATTGTAGGACAAAGCCGAGTTTTGTCAATATCAATAAGGCATAAAAAGTAACAAGGACTAAGATGTGTTCCTCTTATTACTGAAAAATCCTGTTCCCCTAGTTTGAAGTAGTCAGGACTAGGAATTGCTGGTAGATCTTACATCCCATTACGTACCACGAAAAGGTGATCTACTTACGTTACGGGCTAATATTACCTTCTTTTAGGATCGGTTTTGACAGGCTGAGCACCCCGGAAAAGTTATCAGATTTGATGAATTTGGCGGTATTTGTGAGATGGCAATGGAGATTGTTTTTTTTTTATCGGACAGAATGGGCTGAAGGTTCTAAGAATACTACGAAATTTCACCCACAGGTAACAGGTATGATCATGTGAATGAAATAAATTTATCAAAATTTAAAGTGATCAATTTTCCCGGAAAACTTTAGTTGAAGTTATCGGATTTTCCCAGACACCACGAACTTTGAATAACTCATGAATCAAGCATGTAGAAAAAATATTCTATAAAAATAAATCAGCTATCCACAAAATATAATTTAAAAAAAAATCCCACGAAAATTTGCATGATGGATGAAAATTACAATGAAAATCTGTGAAAACCAATTTTCAAGTGATTAAAGTTTTTTGAATAAAAAACTGAATGCCAATAAAATATTGTTTTAAAATGTTTCGATTTCTCTAAACTTCAAATACTTTACAAACTAATAACTCAAAAATGGTAAGATTCACCACTCCTCGTTTCTATGCTATTTAATCAAACCGTGAACAATTTTTGTGGAAAATGGATTAATAAGAGCATTTCTTTACGATTTTTCTATACAATATTTATTCTACAAGTCCGGAAAAATCGAAAACAGAGAAAATTTAACTATCTATGCTGTTAATTTTTTGTTTATAATTAAAAAAATGGAAAATGGCAGCACTTTGAAATTTTCACCAGTTGAAGATATTTTTTTTCCAAACATGAATAAAAAAGTTGAAAAATTTGTTTTTACACAAAAAATGTATTTTCCTGTTTTTCTTTGCGATTTTCCTCCATCGTGAGAATTTTCGTAGGAATCATTGTTGAGATTATATATTATATGGATTACTGAGATAATTTTCACATTTGTTCTACAGTGCTATGAGCTATAATTTTTCAAACTTTGTTATATCATAAAGTTTGTTATAAACTAAAGTTTTCTCCTAAAATTGACCACCCCAAATTTGATGATTTTTTTTTTTTTTTTTTTTTCATTCATATGATCATAAACTGAGCAAAATTTCTTAGCATTCTGAGAACCTTCGGCCTAAGCCTGTCCGATAATTTAAAAAATCTCCTCAAACGTATCCGATACTTAAAACAACTCATTCAAACCTGTAATCGTTTAGTTAAAATTTCCTTGGCTTTAATTTGTGCATGTTGTTTTAGGAAACTGTAGTGTTTTTTTAGTGTCAGTGTTGGGTTAGTAAGATTAGTAGGATTGTTGGAAAATTGCTGTAAATTGAAAAATGTATAAATTTGTGTTAGTAGGATTAGATTGAAATTGATATTTTTATAAACTTAATTGGGCGAGACAGGATCGAAAGGGTGTTGTGATCAACTGTGGTAGAAAACTGAATAGGCAAAGGATATGATATGGATGGGTAGTGATAAGCTACAAGGAAGGAAAATGGAGGAAATAAGGAACGAATTGAAAACTAGATGGGGGAAAATTAGGGCTCTTGATATCTGGGATGGTTAACCATTGCCCAGAAGTATACCAGCGTTTGTGCGTACAAGACGTGAGTGGAGTCAAGACTATAGTGAACCGAACAAAATGCCTCAAAGTGCAGTGAGGTCCGTTCAGGTAACTTAGTTTGACCAAACTTGATTTTGGCTTGGTTTTAAACATTTGTCCTTCAGGACCTTTTTTATTTGTTCCACGAATATCCTCACGATCGGCACGTTTCGACCAAGTCAGTCTCGACTGTCTTGGTCTAAAACTCAAGGACCTGCCACTCTCCGGCTTGTAATTGCCAGAAAGGAGAGCATCCTCGGACTCGGAAGTCCTAATCGTTAAGGAGGAAGACCCTTCTCGGCTTGACCAAGGTGGCCTTGTCACGGTAAGCTTATATTTGCCAACGAAGGGAGACGCCGTTGCCAACAGAAAAGGCTACTTCGGTAGCTGCACAGGGATCGCTACATTCCCTGGTTGCAAACAGCCATCGCAACGCTCAAACAAAAGCCTCCGATCCGTCATTGTCGTGACCACAGTTCCAGTCACCAGGCGTCATCTTCCAGACCAGTTGAAGCCACCGATCCGCCAGATCAAGCCACGGACCGCCATCGGCTTCAACACAATCACCACCCGCGAGCGCTCGCCATCGTCCAGCAAACACCATCGGTACGTACCAAAGAAGCAGAAACCCATAGAACACACTCCACAATAGCCCAATAAATCCATCCGCACTATAATACCATTTTAATAAATTTTTAGACTTTTTCCACCCACACTTAAGCTTTCAATTAATTTCACCATCACTAGAGAAATTCCACAGTTTCTGCACACTTTGTTCCGCGTAGCCCCTCCGAATTACCCAGTAGCATGCCGGCCCTGTGACACAGTTCAGGGGTGTCATGCTACTGAGCTAGTTATCCGGGAGTCTTGGTTGAGCCACTAGGGTGAGTCTCAT